AATGAGCAGCTAGCAAAGAACAAATGGAGAAAAAATGGGAAATTCTCCAAGGTCAAATGCTTATGTCAGAAGGACCCTGAGGATACTAAATTTGCAAGGTAGAGATTTTGCATCTAAAAGCTCCTGCCACAAATCCTAGAATGAGACCCAGGTATTTTCAGATGAGAAAAATCCTTTTGCTTCCTAATAGAAGCAATAACCAATATTCTTAGGGGAAAAAAAAGCATGCCCTTTTTAGAACCTCTAGATTGCTGCAAATTAAGATTTTTTTAAAATGGATCCCACAAATTCACCTAATATACAAGGGAAAACATTTTAGGAATGAAAGTCAATAGAAACAGCAAATAACATATTTAGACCCACAAGGTCTTTGGAAATTTTTTTTTATTATGTTCAGTTAGCCAACATACAGCATATCATTAGTTTTTGATGTAGTGTTCAATGATTCATTAGCTATATATAACACCCAGTGCTCATTATCAAACCCAGACTATATAATAATGAAAGAATTTAAGGGATAAAGAAACAAAAGATGAAACCACAAACATGAGCAAGAGAGAAGAAAGTAACAAATGATTAGTCTGATCTGAAAATGAATCCAATGGAAATTCTCGTTTTCCAGGTCTGGTTCCATTTACTCATTTTTCATATCTTTCATTTCTGTCTGTATTATGTCTGTGTTTTCCATGAAACCCTGGAATATATTTATAACCGTTTTTAACATCCTTTTTCTGTAAATTTCATCATCTCTATCATTTATGCATATGTTTCTATTGACTCATTGTTTTTTGTATTATGGGTCACATTTTCAGACTTCTTTGCATATCTGGTAAGTTTTTATTGGATAGACATTGTGGATGATATATAGTTATTTAGACTTTTTATTTTTTTCTTTAAAAAGTGTTCAATTTTTAGTTGGGGCAGGCACTTAAATAATTTACAGATCACTATGATATTTTCAAGATTTGATTTTCAGCATTTTTAGGATGGATGTAGCATAGCCTTTGCCCTAGGGCTCTTTCAGCCCCCCTATTATGGTCGCTTTACTGATCGCCGCAATCATTCACTATCTCCCACTCTGGCTGGGTAGGACTGAGACCTCTCCCAGTCCTGTGTAACCTCGAGGGATTGTTCAGTCTATAGCCCCTGGTGGTACATATGCAGCTTAGTATTCATTAACAGACCCAAGAGGACTACTCCTCCAATTTCTGGAATGTTTCCTCTGTATAGCATTATAGTGTTCTCCTGTTCATTCTCTGTTCTGCCAATTATAGCCACGTCCATCTCCCTGAACTTCTCTGACGGTCTCCTCAACTCAGGCAGACTGCTGTGTTCTGTCCCTTCCCATATGCTGTGTTCTGGAAACTACCTGAAGATAGAAAAGCAAGGAAGATTTATGGGTCTGAATCATTTGTTTCTCTTCTCTTCTGGACTAATCTTCCCGGCACCCAGTGAATGGAATCAGCTGCTTCATACATTTTGCCCAATCTTTTAAATAATCACAGCAGGAAGGAAAAATCAGTACTCATTACTCCAATATGACCAGAAACAAAAGTGATCCTTGGAAGTTATATTTACATACTAACACATGGAAAGACAAAGCCTTGGATTTTAATCCCTGTGAGCTGGAGCTTTTCTTGCATAAGTAAGCACAGTCCTTTTCTTCAGTACATTACAACCTCAGAATATTTTGATATTCTAATAATAATGCTAGAAAATCACTCTGAGGGATAATGCATACTTTAAAGACTATTACTTATGCTCCTCCTGGGATATCCCATTAACTACTAAGTTGTTACCTTCCACCTATGCACTATGGAATACAGTACTTTCATTTCTTTTTATGGGGCCTTGATCCCATCCTGTTTCCTATTGGACATCCCCACCTGAATGTCCTAAGGCTCCCAGACTCAACAGACAGAATTATCTCCATTCCATCAGCCACACCACTCCCTCCTCCATGACCTGCTTTTTCTTGCCTGTCCCTATTCAAGATAATTTCTTAAACCAGATCCTTAAAATATCATCCTCCATTATTGCTCTTCAGTCATAATCCACATGCAAAGCAGTAATAAACTTTATTTATTCTCCTTTCTACCTATTATAATAGCCCCATTTTGATATCACTTTTGTCCTACCTATGCCTAGGACAGGTGCTCACATTTTCAGTGTTTCTTGCATGGATTAGTGCAATAGTATAGTAGTTGTTCTTCTTTGGATCTAGCCTTAATTTCTTCTGGTCAACCCCCAAACTTCCAACAAAAAGATCTTCTAATATGCAATTTAATCATTTCTCTCTATCTTAAGTCCCAGCAATAAAATCAGATCATTTATGAGACAAAGGTAAAATCCATGACAGGAAAGGTCCATAATCTGGTGTCTTATTCTTGCCATTCCTTCCTTCATATTGTATGCTCCGACTTTTTAAAAAGCTACTCTTTGTGTATTATGGGTCTTTGAAGAGGTTTCTTCTTCTGTCTTTAATCCCTTTAGTTTAACATTTTTCTGCCTGACAGATATCTCTCCTATTTTAAAACACATCATAAATACTGTTTTCCACAGTATCCTGTGGCCCCTGAATTCTTTGGCAGAGATTGACTGACTATTCTATCTTGTACATACTTCATTTAGTCTACCCACTTAATTACATAGTGACTTCTTGTTTATGTGTCTGTCTTTTTTATGTTTTTACCATATTTTGTGCCTTTGAAGGCAGAGATTGTCTTAGTCCTCTTTGGGCCCCTCATGCTTATCACAGCCTAGAATCCAGCAGATTCTCAACAAATACTTTTCAATGAATGAACAAAGGCAAAAAAAGTGAAGCTGGGAAACTGTATACCACCAGAAGGGGCAGTGCCCTTCACTACACCATTAGAGGGTAGGAGGTAGACAGGATTCGGAGGATTTGGGTTCTGTCTGGCCTGAGGAGTTGCTCAAAACTAGCATGTGGTCTTCTCCGACTGATGGCCCAAAAGGTGGGCAGCTCTCCGTGCTCCCCTGTTGGTCCACTAGTGCTCAAGTAAAATTTTCAAAAAAGTTAAAAGTGACTTTTATGTAAATATGAGATGAACATGTTAAAGATATTACCCAACTCACTAACTAATGAAAGAATTGGTCTAAGGAAAGATCTGAAAAACATATATGCAGTAAGAAATGCTAAAATGAATTTTCCAATGACATAAATCCATTGATATCTTATAGGGCAATAAAATGTAACATCTGGAGTTGTCTCTTCTACCAGGCAGAAATCAATTATATTTCTAATACATATCATTTATTTGTATTTATTTGTTTTGCTGTTGGAAGAAACAATTTGCATTATTGCCATTTTTATACTATTTCTGTCCTTATGGATTTAGAAAATAGCCTGGTTGATGCGAAGTCAAAGGTGCTCACGCTCAATCAGCTGTTCCCCAGAAGATTCACTAGACAAATGTCCAGCACTCTAGCTTCCAAGTCTTGGATAATTTTTCCCTGACATTAGCAAGAGAGCTCTACTACATTTCCCAAGGCAAGGTGATATTCCCTGGACTGGACACACAAAAGAATCCTTCTGACATTTTAAAGACTTTTTTGTTGAAAGGTCAAGTGAAAGTACAAAGCAGTACAGAGTGCAGTCTTTGCTTTGATTTTTTTCCACTTTATGATTTTGAGAGGCAGAATTTTGTGGTGCTTAATAACAGATTCTAGAGTCAAACTGACTGGCTTTGAGTTGCAGCTACAAGGCTGTGTGACCGTGGGCGAGTAAGTTTACCTCTCAGTGTCTTGGTTTCTCCTCTGAAAAATGAGAATGATAGCATTTGCCTCATGCTTGCAATGAAACTTAGCTGAGCTCTGTGTGTGTGTGTGTGTGTGTGTGTGTGTGTGTGTGTGTGTGTGTGCATCACTTAGAACAGTGCCTGGTCCACGGTTATCACTGTAAGGATTTGTTAAATAAAATGTAAAGATATAATGCAAATGGAGGTAGACAGAGGAAGGATTGATTCCCTTGTAAATCTTTGGAGGCATTTCTCATGAGCATTGATGAGACCATGCAGGGCGTACTCTTGGCTTTTATTCCAATGCAGTCATCATTTAGGAAAAACAGCTTCCCCCCCAAATTACCTAAGGCCCGAGACAACTCAACCCAGATACCACTGTTTTCTTTTGATGCTAATCCTGTGGGGAACTTTCTTCTTTTGAAGGATATCCAGCATGCAGTTTCCTGTGGGGAAATAACATTTCTTCTCAGGATGACGTGACCCAGTGCCTCACAAAGACAATGCTAGGACTATTAAACTGAAGAAGCACGTACTTGAGAATGGACGGAGAACTCCATCCCTGTCTAGAATCTTTCCAATCCTCATATTTTCCGACCTCAGTTCATTCCATTAATCAAAACGATTAATGTCAATCAGAAATGTCTGCAAATGAATTGAAAATTCCAAGCATTCCTCACACCCATAACATCTTAATTGGAGCTTTCACAGGTGTACGTACAATCCAGAAAATAAGGAAAATGTGTGTCAAGGCACTGAAAACTGGTAGAGGCTGTCCAAGTCACCAGCGTGATGGGCTCATCATGTGTCATTTTTTCTCTCAATAAATCAATGAGGTGGCTAACACTACTGCTTTCTCCTAAAGTTAAGGAAGCTGAGATTTAATGTCTTGTCAAGGTCACACAGCAATTACGTGGCCCACGTTGTGAGGCCTGAGCTGTAGTGGAAATTATATGAGAACGGGAAGTTCCCATGACATCTCTTTTCTCCAGGCTCATCATCATATGTTGGGCATGCTCCTTGGAGTCACACAGGGTCTGGAGAACGCTTCCCTGACTCCAGACCAGGGATTTATGTGGCCTTCGACAAGCTGCCAAGGCAAATACAACTTTTTCCCCTTTGCCATATTCCCATTCACCACTTGGTACAGTTATGTAGAGACTCGCTTTATTTAGGAGTAGGTCCAGAACTATTTTTGAAATACACATTTTTTTCAAGAAAAAATTCTCAGAAACCAAATACTTTCTTTCAGAGCTTTTATTTGAGCAAAAGGAAAATATATATATATATATGTATATACTTTAAGATTTAGAAAAATCAACACTGACAAGAGAATAAAATAACATTATCACCATAATTATATAATTTACTTATATATTACTTATAGTAAATGTCATTTTCTGGTATATTCTGTTTTTACTCCAAAAGAATTAAAATGATATACTTGCTGAGGCATTTAATGGCCACAGGAACTAAGCATTGCTTAATGTTAGTTAAGCAAAGAAATAATGATAATTTCTCACTTCTGGGATGTTCAAGGAGCAAGATATTCTGTTGCCCCTTGAAAAAGTGTCTGTTTTCAAGCTTAATAGTTGAATCAAGTAAAAATTGACAAGGAGGGTTTTCAAAATAAAAAAATCTTATGTAGTTTGTATAGTCACCTGTCTATATGATAATTTATCTATGGCCTATAGATTTTACTTTATTTTAAGACACACGTCACGCAAGTATGGAATAAATACTTATTTAACTGAAGTGAATTGACCAACATCACTAATTATACCATTCCTAACAAACTAACTTGATATTTTGTTTCAGCATTTTGGTGACACGTTGGGATACGACATCATATTCAAATATGTCAGATCTTTGGAAGAAATAGTAGTGTCCTAAAAATGAAAACAAATTGAGTAGTTTAATTCTTCACTTGCATTTCTTAAAAATAAAAAGAAGAAAACACAGATCTGTGCTTTTATAGATTATCTATAGTAGACCAAATTTTATAGATGACCTATATTAGACATTTGATAATATAAATGTCGGGCCCCTGCGCTGGGTGTCCTGCCCTTGGATATCTGTTTACTGCCCATCATTTCACCACTAAATATCTTCATTAATTTCACTGAGAAGATTGTTTGGTTTTAAAAGCTGACTCTGAAGATGTGACTGTTTTTGAAAAGCCACCCTTCAGGTGGAGAACTCATCTGGGAGGGAAGAAATTGGGCACAGGTGGGGCACACAGAGGCCCTGACGGAGGAGTAAGAAACACATGGTGGGGGGGGGGATAAAAACAAAATGCCTCGGCCTAGCCGACAGCTTCGGCTGACCTTGCCTGAAGATATTCCCAGACACAAACGCCAACAAACTCAAGTGTTTCGTATCCCTACCCTAGTCCACAAGAGCCCATGCAGGATGGGAGGGGCTGCAAGGAAGGTCAAAGATTCAAGGTGTAGGAAAGTAGGCGAGCCCAGCTTGCCTGAGTCTTGCCACATGCTCATCTGTACACACTGTGTGGCCTCATGTGATCAGACATTCCAGAAACTCAGGCACAAGCATGTGGCGACAATCATATGCCCCCAACCACTAAACCACTCTAGAACTACTGCTTGTTCTATGCCACTCATTCTTTGAGCCCATCTATGCTAAACCAAGCAGGCTATGAGTTTTCCCTCTGCAGCCCTACAGAGAACTGCACGGCCCTCCTATTCTTTCCCAGTTTGAATCCCTGTTCTCTGACCTCGAAGGCTTTATCATCATCAGTGTTTTAAAAGGGGATTTCCAGTATCTTCATGGCTTCCCAATCTACTTACTGTTATAATAGTAGACTGCATCAATTGTAGGTCTAATTCCTGGAAAGTGTTTGGTAATCAATTTGGGATAACCTGAGTCCATGAATCGTCTCCTCTCATCATACCTGAGCAAAGAAATAATCAATAGGACCTCCATTAAAAAAAAAATGGATTTCATGATGAAGAGCTTGATATTTCATGACATGAACCACAAAACCCATCTATTCTCTCCTGAAAGACTTTTCCTTGCACTGTTAAGAAAACCAAGGACCTAAACAGTTCACTGACTTATTCCAAGCCCCTACAGGACTCAGACCCTAGGGTTCCTCACTTCTGGTCAGGAACTTTCCCCACTCCTGCACAATGCCTCTGCCAGTGCTTTAGAGAGCCCGACTGTTTAATTTCCTGTAGTGAAGACCTTGCAGGATTCACTGCCACTCAGAAGATGGTTTCCTCATTTGTCTCCTTGGGCCCAGTGGTTATAAAAAGGAGTCTAAAAAGAGTACACTCCCTGAAGAGACTGTAAACACTATGTCTTGTATGTCTATGCCCCTGTTCTCCAATGTCCTTCCACTGTGATTCATGACGTGACATTTTATTTATAAAGTATTCCTTTTAAAAACACATTATGTGCTATCTCAAATCAGAATCCCAAAGTCCAGGGAACAGAACTAGGAAGACAATAACTAGTCCAGATCTATGTTCTCTTGATTCTTCTCTTAGGAAGGTCAAGGATCCTTGGGAATTTACATTAGAAAGACTCCCTACTGAAAACCCCATTCCCTGCCCATTTCATGAATTTTAGGAGTCATGTTACCAATCATTAAAGCTCACCTCCAATATTGATTATCTACAAAGAAGTAGGTCTTATGAAGAAGTGGGTTAAAAACAGCTGCATCAATTTTTTTCACAAAGTCAGGAAAGCCCAAAGAACGTATGTTCTTGGGGTAGCGTGGTTGTGGTCTCCAATCGCTAATTAACCAGTACTTATCATCTGTGAAGAGAAACAGAGAGGATACACTGGAATCATACAAAAACAGCAATATAAATACTGACTCACTACAAACAACTTCATTCTTTATCCATAGTTCCAAAACATACTGCTCCTTGTTCTTCAACATGGTTTGTCTCCTATGGTCCTGTACTTCTTTCACAAGTATTATGATCTTATATTAAACAAACTTTTCCTGAAATTTTTGCACATTACCTAGGTATTTAAACTATTTTTAGCTCATAGTTCAGACTCACCATTAATTAAGTCTGGAGTGCTTTTTTCTATGTTTATAAAAATCAGTAGTATTTCCTTCATTTATTCTCTTCCTTGAAGTAGACCTAGTAGCAAACTAAACATTAGAGTTACCTTTAAAAAGAAAAACTTGATTTCTGGCTCCAACTTCATAAGCAGCTTGAATGCCAGATGGTAAGGTCGCCCACAAAGAAGAAATTAAACTAGCATTGCTCATTGGACTCTCAGGATACCTCCACCAGAAGAATCTGATGAAAAACATTTAACACATGTTAAAAATCACTGTAGACTCAAGAACCATGAAATGGTCACTGGGAAGGACCTGTGAAATGACTTAATGGGTTTTTTCCAATATCCTCACATTCTGTTCCATGGATGTCTTGATAGGAGCACCACAAGGAATGGATCTTAATTAATTCTTTTATAATAACAATAATTTTAATGGGCAATCCACCATATGAAAATACCCTGATACTTGAAATCAAGAGATCTAGGTTCTAACCTGAACCCACAATTCCTTTACTAGTTTTGTAATCTAAAAGAAGTTATTTATCCCAAATGTCTCAGTTTTTGAATCTCAGGAATGGAGAATAATGAGACTAGAGATCAATGACAAGAAGAAAACTGGAAAAACCTCTATAAATGTAGAGACTGAATAACATGCTACCAAACATCCAATGAAGAAATGAAGAAATCAAAAATAAAAATACCTTGGGGCAAATGAAAATGAAAACATAACTTTCTAAAATCTTGGGGATGCAGCAAAAAAGTTCTAAGAGGGAATTTCATATCGATACAGGCCTACCTCATAAAACAAGAGAAATCTCAAATAAATAATCTTTATTTTAAAAAGATTTTACCTATTTATTTGACACGGGGAGAGAGACAGAGAGTGAGAGAGCACAAGCAGGGGGAGTGGCAGAAGGAGAGGGAGAAGCAGGCTCCCTGATAAACAGGGAGCCTGATGCAGGGCTCAATCCCAGGACCCTAGGATCAGGACCTGAGCCAAAGGCAGATGCCCAACTGACTGAGCCACCCAGGTGCCCCTCAAATAAATAATCTGAACTTACACCTGAGGAACTAGAAAAAGAACAAACAAAGGCCAAAGATAGTTACAAGAAGGAAATAATAAAGATTGGAGTGGAAATAAATGAAATAAAGACTAAAAAAATATTTTCAAGATCAATGAAACTAAGAGCTTGTTCTTTCAAAAGATAAACAAAATTGGTAGGCTTTTATCCAGATTTATCAAGAAAAAAGACAGAGGACTCAAATAATTAAATTCAGAAATGGAGGAGAAGTTACAACTGATTCCACAGAAATACAAAGGATCATAAAAGACTACTATTAACAATTACATGTGAATAAATTGGACAACCAAAAAAAATGGATATAAATTCCCAGAAATATACAATCTTCTAAGACTGAATCTGGAAGAAATAGAAAATTTGAATGGACCCATTATTAGAAATGAAATTGAATCAGTAATCAAAAACTCCCAACAAACAAAAATCCAGGACCAAACAGTTTCACAGGTGAATTATACCAAATAATTAAAGAAGACTTAAATTATTCCAAATTATTCCAAAAAAAAATAAGAGGAAAGAATGTTCCCAAACTCATTGCACAAGGCCACCATCACCCTGATACCAAAACCAGACAAAGACATTGTAAAAAAAAAAAAAGAAGAAGAAGAAGAAGAAAAAGAAAAAAAATTGCAGGCCAATATCCCTGATGGACATGGATGCAAAAATTCTCAACAAAATATTAGCAAACCAAATTCAACAATACATCAAAAGGATCATATACCACTATCAAGTGGGATTTATTCCAGGGATGCAAGGATGGTTCAATATCCACAAATCATTGTAATATACCACATTAACAAAATGAAGGATAAAAATCATGATCATTTCAATAGATGTAGAAAAAGTATTTGACAAAATTTAACATCCATTCATGACAAAAACTCTCAACAAAATGATTATAGAGGGACCACACCTCCACACAATAAAGGCCATATATGGCAAACCCACAGCTAACCTCATACTCAATGGTGAACAGCTGAAAGTTTTTCCTTTAAGATCAGGAACAAGACAAGGAGGTCCACTCTTGCCATTTTATGCAGTATAGTATCAGAAGTCCTAGCCATAGAAATTAGGTGAGAAAAGAATAAAAGGCATCCAAATTGGAAAGGAAGAAATAAAACTGTCGTTATTGGCAGATGACATGGTACTATAATTAGTAAATCCTAAAGACTCCACCAAAAAACTAGTAGAACTAATAAGTGAACTAACTCAGTAAAGATGCAGGATATAAAATCAACCTACAAAATCTGTTGCATTTCTATATATTAATAACAAACTATCAGAAGAAATTAATAAAACAATCCCATTTATAATTGCATCAAAAAGAATAAAATACCAGGAATGAATTTTATCAAGGTGGTGAAAGATCTGGACTTTGAAAACTATAAGACACTGATGAAAGAAATTGAAGAGGACACAAATAAATGGAAATATATACCATGCTCATGGACTGCAAGAAGCAATATTATTAAAATATCCATACTACCCAAAGCAACTTACAGATTCAGTACAATCCCTATGAAAATACCAATAGGATTTTTCACAGAACTAGAACAAAGAATCCTAAAATCTGTATGGAACCACAAAAGATCCCAAATAGCCAAAGCAATCTTGAGAAAGAACAGAGCTGGAGGTAACATGCTCCCAGATTTCAAGCTATACTACACAGCTAAATAAATCAAAACAATATGGTATTAGCAGAACAACAGTCACATAGATCAACAGAACAGAATAAAGAGCCCAGAAACAAACCCACACTTATATGGTCACTTAATTTAGCACAAAGGAGCCAAGAACAGGGAAAAGAGAGTCTCTTCAATAAATGATGTTGGGGAAACAGGAGAGCTATATGCAAAAGAATGAAACTAGACAACTTTCTTACACCATACACAAAAATAAAGTCAAAATGGGTTACAGATTTAAATGTAGAAACTTGAAACCATAACACTTATAGAAGAAAACATAGGCCATGAACTCTTTGACACTGGCTTTAGAGATTTCTTTTTTTTTTTTTTTGATCCCTCCCCTCAGACAAGGACAACAAAAGCAAAAATAAACAAGTGGGACTACAACAAACTAAAAAGCTTTTGTACAGCAAAGGAAACCATTAACAAAATGATAAGGTAAACAACCTAATGGGAAAAGATACTTGCAAGAGATATACCCAATAAGAGGTTCATATCCAAAATATATAAGGAACTCAAACAACTCAATATTTTTAAAAAGTTAAACAATCTGATAAAAAAATAGGCAGAGAAACTGCATAGATATTTTTCCAGAGAAGACATACAGGCAGCCAACAGATACATGTAAAGATGCTCAATATCACTAACCATCAGGAAATGCAAATCAAAACCACAATGAGATACCACCTGACACCTGTCAGGATGGCTAGGATCAAAAAGACAAGAAATAACGAGTGTTGGTGAGGGTGTGGAGAGAAGGAAACCCTTGTGCACTGGTGGTGGGAATGCAAGCTGGTGCAACCACTGTGGAAAACGGTATGGAGGTTCGTCACAAAATCAATTATAGAAATACCATATGATCCAGCAATTCCACCTCTAGGTACTTATCCAAATCAAACAAAACACTAATTAGGAAAGACATATGCACCCTTCTGCTCATTGCAGCATTATTTACAATAGCCAAGATACAGAAGCAACGTAAATGTCCATCGATTGATGAATGGATAAAGAAGACATGGTGCGTATGCAGTGGGATATAACCCATAAAAGAGAATGAAATCTTGCCATTAGCGCTAACATGGATGGACCTAGAGCATATTATGATAAGTGAAATAAGTCAGACAGAGTAAGAAACATCATATGATTTCACTTAAATGTGGAATCTAAAAAAAAAAAATCAAATGAACAAATAAAACAAAACAGAAACAGACTCATAGAGAACAAACTGATGGCTGACAGAGGTGAAGGGACAGACTTCAGTTCTGTAGTAAGACACAGGCATGAAATGTATAGCACAGGGAACAGAATCAGTGATATTGTAACAACTCTATATGGTAACAAATGAATCTAGACTTATTTTGGTGACCACTTCATAATATATACATAAATATCAAATTACTGTGTTGTATACCTGAAACTAATACAATCTTGTATGTCAATTATTCTTCAATCTAAAAAATGGAGAATATTTGTCCCATCTACCAAATACTAATCTTCTCCACACCCCACCCTTCCAGTATCTGCTTCAATCTGTGCTCTAAGTTATCCTGGAATTCCTTTCTCTGTAATCAAGAATCAAGACTTTTAAATTGATACTGTCACACTTTTAGTCCTAGACTTAACAATTTTTACTTGTGATTAAAGTAGTCTGGCTTCACTTCCTGCCTTATCTTTCCTCACCCAAGATTCCTACCACAAATCCATTTTTTACCCATCAGTCTTCTCATTAAACACAAATATAATCACATCACTCTCTCCCTTCAAAACCTTCAAGCTGTCTACTTCCTACAGAATCGAGTCCCTCTTCAATTTTCATCTACTTCATTTTCCACCATTCTCTGACAAAACATTTTAAAAATCCAAGGACAGAGCCTTTAATGTTGGTCAGATATGAAGATGATTTTACCTGTCTTTAAAGAAAACGATTTTATTTCCCACTGTAGTGACAGCATCAAAACTCAAGTTGGGGTCACAGGTGGCTGATTCTCTACTGTCAGGATTTGATGAGGGTTGGCGCCTTTCTGGAAGACCTGAAAATACATTTCAAGAAACATTAGAGAAAAAAATCTGCATTTTAGCTGCTAAGGGGAAGAACCATTCTTTCTAAAACATTAATTTTCTGGATAAAAAATGCATAAAAAGCAATTTATGCTTCCTATGACATTCACAGGAAGCAGCCAATAAAGATCTTTCCCCCATTTGGTCGCAATGTCATGGAGGAGAAAAATCTGATCACTCTGGTTTTCCTGTTCGAGGCAGATTATTTCTCTTTGTGCCTTCTTCAAAGACAATGGTGTGGTGGATAGAAAGACTGAGGACTCAGATTCTGCCCCCGTCACCGGCATGAACATACTAGGTCTCCTGTGCTTTTCCGCAAAATGAAGGTAAGATGTGTGCTACCTCCGTCACAGGGTTTTCACAGGGCTCCAAACAGAAGACAGAGATGAAAGTTTTACTCAAATGTAGATACTATGACACTATTCATGAGTGTCTTTGTAAGGCAAAATGGTAAAGAAAGTCAACTCACCGTAGAGAGACTGAATGCCACGTACATCATCAGCAGAGAGGCGAAAGGTGTTCGGGTTAACGTAACTATAGGTAGGGAACATGATGGCTTTTGGATCACTGGAATGGCTCAGACCCAAGGAATGGCCAAGCTCATGAACAGCAACGAGGAATAAGTTTGTGCCTGAGAGGAAACCAACAAGAAGGGGGAAAAGAGCAGTGAAATATGTCTGCATCCGGAGGACAATGACACCACCGAAATCTGGCAGAAGGATTGGGAAGCCTTGACTTATCTCCTTTCCCTCTGACCCAAGGCTTTTTGATGTTGACATTGTAGGCCAGGTCATTCCTTGTGATTAGGACTGTCCTGTGCATCACAGGTGTTTAGAAAACTCTGGGTTCAACACTCAAATTCAAGTAGCAACCCCCCTCCAATTTTGACAACAAAAATGTCTCCACACTTCAAATGTCCCAACCTATCACAATTTGATCTAACCCTGGATTTCTCCTATTTTCAACTCCCATGATGCTTTGCACAAAAGACCATCACTGGTCCTTATCTCAAAATCATGGGCTTCTGCATGTACTCTGTTTCCCACGAGATTATGCACTCTTCCAGGATGGGATTGTGTCTTCTTTGTTTCTGTATCCAAACAGCACCTCCATCACCCAACGCTGTGACAGAAATTCAGCAACCACTGAGTGAACTGTTCACTTAATTCACTGGGTCAAAATTAGGCTGAGATTGAGCACTCTAAGTTATAATTTTCATAAATAATTTAGTTTTTTGAAAGCACAGAATTGCGCCATATAAAAACAAGGTAACACGGACCGGTAGGAAGTACACACTGGGTTGAAAGAAGAGAACTAGGAAATACACGCTCTGCCCCATCTTTCCCACGAGCTGGCTGCTAACAGCCTCCTGCCCTGAACTTCCTCTCTCTGTAAAGATCTGTACTAAATTATTTTTCTAAAATCCTTTAGAATTCTAAAACATTCCAAGTCCACCATGTTGGATGAAAAGAGTATACACCCAAAATAACCTTGGATGAAATTCAGACAAATTTAACATGACCAGCTGAGGCTTTGAAGCTCAATTGGGACCTAATGCTATATCCGTTGTCTTTTGACAATGCAGAACTCCTCTTCTCAATCAAGAATTTAATAAGCCTTGGGTCACGTGTTAGACTAAAACAAACAGCCTTTCTGGTCTATGAAAACACTGCCATCTGAGGCATGCAATATCAGCCAGAGAGATGGTGTGCTCAGTAGAACCTATTCTTGAAGACTTTCTCTCCATTTACTTTCCATATGAGTCAGTCATATAATCTAGACTTCCCCTAGAAATATTAGGAAGGCTTGTGATATGAGGGTTTGAATTTTCCAATGGGTAGTGATTCCTTCAAACAGGGGAGACTGTTTATTTCTCTCCCCCAGCTGTCTGAGAGGGATGGTGAATTACAGCCTCCTCTGTAAATACAGCGAAGGCATTGTCAAATGATCAGCTGAGCGTTCTGTAATTCCTATCCCAGAACCTCAAGAGACCATATGACCATATAACCTTGTGTTTTACTACAAGGATTTCTAAGTTTTCTATAATATAACTTCATCTTTCTGTGTCACTATAAATCTAAGAAATTGTCAACATATAATGGATCATGCAGATGACCACCCCACCCTAGGACGGCTGGTATAACCAGAGTTAGCGTCTGTGTTTGCTTGAGTTTACGGACTGCCCTGTCAAAAACTGACTGCCTAAATCAGTTTTTACCTTTCTAAGCTATGGCCTTTAAGGTTCCTGAGTTCACACTAATGAACTAGCTCATCTTCAAATTCTTAAACCTGATCTTTAAGATAATGTAGTCCAATATCCTCAATTTATAGAGGGTGAAATTGAGACAGAATGTTACATTTTATTTAGTGACACAATTATAATCAGAATGAGTTTTTCCATCCTACAATTGTTTCTCAGAATGCAGCCTTTCAAAATTGGGACATAATTTAGAATTTGTAAAGGGTTTTTCATGTGTGGTTTTTGTTTTTTCTTTTTGTTTGTTTTTTGTTTTGTTTTTTGCTTCTTACCTTTGTAGTTTTTAGTCCAGATTTCAGCCTCATCAAAATGTGTGTCTCCCCCAATCCCGGTTCCAGGTCCGAAAGCATGGGCTATGACTCCACCTCTACCATCGAAAGGGGTGTAGTCTCCATGAGCTTTGGAAAAGGAAAGAAAATTAGTCCTTCCTTATATGCTATAGGTCATGCCAATGATATAGATAAAATAAGTCCACGTTCTTTACCTCCAGATGCAAAAAGTATCATAATGTCAGCCTCTCCTGAATTAATCTTTCTGAATTTTAAGGGGGTCACATCACTCCATACTTGAAAAGCCTTCTGGATGGCATAGTCAACATCTGCAGGGCGCATGTCAGGAGTGTAATTTTTGATTCTTTATCAGCAAAACAAAAAAGAGAGAGAAAAATATGTGGAAACCATGTGTTAATTCTGTCTTATTGCAACACTTCATTTTTGCCTGCATTGGTGGAGAATGAATCATTTCGTAAATCGATAGTCCAGATAACAAAAACCTGCATCATTAGCTACAGAAACACGTGTCCTTGGACAGCTTCCTCCTTAAACAGAATCTAACTGGATTTCTTCTCATTTATGATTTATGGGGTTTTTTGTGAAGGACTGACATGCATTGACAATTTGACAATAAACCTGGCTTTCTCCTATTTTTAATTCCCATATGTTTTGCACAAAAGACCATCACTGGTCCTTATCTCAAAATCACGGGCTTCTGCATGTAATCTGTTTCCCACGAGATTATGCACTCTTCCAGGGTGGGACTGTGTCTTCTTCATCTCTGTATCCAAACAGCACCTCCATCATCCAACATTGTGATAAAAATTCAGCAACCACTGAGTGAACTGTTCACTTAATTTACTGGGTCAAAATTAGGCTGAGAGTGAGCACTCTAAGTTATAATTTTCATAAATAATTTAGCTTTTTGAAAGCTAAATTGCTCTCTCTCTCTCTCAAATAAATAAATAAAATCTTTTGCCCCTGCTCCCAGGCCTCTGCATTTATCTATCTTGCCTGTCCTATAAAATGTTCCCTTGTCTCTTATTTATTATAGATTTAGCTTCATTCTCCTTTTATTTGCAGCCTTTCTACCGTGCTCTGGGCTGACAAACAACTCCACCTTGAGTGAAAAAATCCCCCCTTCCAGAAAGAATGAATTTTAACACAGGGAGAGTGCCAACAACTGAGGGAGGCTTCTTATCTATCTCCAGACTTAGGGCTCTATCTAAATGGTTCAGGTTTCCAGAAGTCAGACCTAAGGGAAGGTAGAAAAGTCTATAGCTATGATGTTACCTGTAGGTAATTAAACGTTTCTTCCATACTGGTCTCCCTGGCATCGTCCTGAAGTGATGAACATCAGGTACTCCACATCGGGGCATGTGCATCATGTCCAGAGTAGATGAGTCCAGTTTCCCAGTCACTTTCAGCCCCAAGAACTGCTGCATTTCCTGAATTTTATCCTCCATGAAGTCCCTATTGACTTTCATTTTTGTCGTTGGAATTCTGTCCATCACGAAACCGTAAAAGTTTTCCAGGTACCTCTGGAAAAAATACACTTAGTTGGACATGGAGGGATTTCTGATGGAGCTCTGTATAGTTGACTCAGCTGCACATTGGTGCTTCTGAACCAGGCACCAGACAATTAATTATAATGAGAAAAAAAATCTTAACTCTTTGTGCTTTCAAGGTGAGTCACAAACTTTTAGCAATACTGATTGCCGGAAGGTCACTAGAAACACCTTTGTGTGTCTACCTCTTTGAACTTATTTCTATTCTTTAAAATCTATTTCACCATCTGGCACATCATGGCATCAAGTAAGCAGTGAAACCTTTATTGTCAGGATGCATAAATTATTAATTTAAGTTGGGATAATATTTTCCTGCTTAAAAATCCAAAGCTCAACACAATGGACAACTATGGCAAATGCAAAGTTAAAAGAGTCTTAGAGAATGGGGATATCATCCAAACTCATATGATTAGGGAAAAGAAAGAAATGGGGAGGAGAAAACTATTTTTAAAACATACTCATGAAGAAATATCTGGGATGCCAGACAGTAAAAAGTATTCTTGATTCATCATGGCAGGCTGAAGTGGTTACATAATCAAGCCATTGCTCAAATCTCAGATCATTAAATGGCATTAAATGATTATTGTAAAATACTGAACAGAAGTTGAACTCTAATTATTTTGAACTAACTCTCCTCGGCCAAAGCTATTTAGTAAAGGCTTTTTAGTAAAAGGAACAAATTCATCCACCAATTTTATAACACTTTTTCAAAACCAATACCTTTCCTACATTCATCTTTGGCAGAGAAAAATACAGTGTTTAAAGCAAATAGCCTCTTAAACCAGTTTTCAACTAGTACTTTTCAAGACAGAACTGGTCAATGCAACAAATATTTTTTAAAGATTTTATTTATTTGAGAGAGAGAACATAAGCAGGGAGGAGGGGCAGAGGGAGAGGGAAAAGCAGACCCTCCTCCAAGCAGGGAGTGTGACTTGGGGCTTGATCCCAGGACCCTGAGATCATGACCTGAGCTGAAGGCAGACGCTTAACCAACTGAGCCACCCAGGTGCCCCCAATGCAACAAATTTTAGAGACAAAAATCAGGCTGGATAAATACTCTGGTGTCAATACTTACTTGGGCATATGTCACATTATTTTCAGAGTCGGTAGAGTTCACCAATGGAACAGTTCCAGAAGCAGTGACCTGTAGGACAGTGTCAATAGGAGAGTTTTATAACACTCCTTCAAAAACAACACCACTTTCCTACATCCTCTTTGGCAAAGAAAAATACAGTGCTAAAAGCAAGTAGTCTCCTAAACTCTTTTTCAACTAGTACTTTTCAAGATAAAACTAGTCAACGCAATACATTTTAAAGACAGAAATCAGGCTGGGTAGATATATGGGGTCAATACTTACTTGACCAAATAGCACATCATTTTCTTTGGAGCTTGAAGAGTTGGTCAGAAGAACCATCCCTGAAGCAGTGACCTGCAGGGTCAGCACCAACAGAAGAAACTTCATTCTAAACTTGTGAATGGCTCAACCCAACTTACCCGGTTCCTTCTCAGTGCAAAGTTCCTCAAATGTTCCTACTTATATAACCCTTAGGTCTTGTTCTGTGAATATGAAATCCTTCGAGTGACTCACAGCTGATATCATCCCTTGACTTATCTCAAAAACACGCAAACACAAGCACAGATCTTTTTCTAAGACCAACAATGGGTCCATTAGCACCGAACTCATCACTCATACAACTCAGGGCATATTCCCCAAAATAAATAAGCCCTCCAAAATAATGCATTATATGAGAAACACTACACACCTAAAATGTTACAATAATTACAGATGTATGTTTAGAAAGTTCAGCATCTGAATTTTTACTGTAATAATTTCTTTATATTTACTATAGGTAAAACAGGCTTTTTTAAGGAACAAAATTTAAAAAGTCAGATGAATGAAATCCTTTTGCTGAACTAGAAGAATCCTTTCCAGGCTGACTCTAGCTCCCTAGAGAACTGTGATATATAGAGACTTGGTGTTTAACAAGGAAAATCTATAACATCACGATGCTTTGACGTCTGCTGTATGTGCTGTGCAGGCTTAGATCCTGCTTCTAACTCAAGCCTGATCCCGACTGCGTACCTGGGTACAGATTCCAGAGGCCAATTCCTGTACCTGCCTAATAGGCTAGAGTGGGCAGCCCAAGGTCAACACTTCAACTGTGAAAGATAGGGAAGGTTTGCCTCTGCAATCTACCTTCGTGTCCGCCCAGCTTCCTTTTCCCTTGTCCTGGTTGCTCCGTTCACACAGGATCTGCCTGTCAGTTGGTGGAAAATGCTTGGAGACAGAAACATCTGAGAACCCAGGCATAAACCATGCAGGCAGACATGAGAGCTTGGGGCTGCCTCCCCATTCTGTGTGGACAGGCTGATGGTGGAGGAGTCCCAGGGTGGCGGGTTAGGATTCAGTCACTGCTGTGACCCACCTCCTGGGCCCAGGAACTGCTAGCTGCTTTCCAGCCTCTCCCTGACGTGGGCGCTCCAGGAAAACAAGGGGCACCTGCACGAGCACTGTAGCTAATATCCTACCTGCAATCAGCCCTTTTCAAGCTCTGTGATTTGACCTCTAGGATCTTCAGATATTTCCTTTGAAAACAAGGATAATGATCTTTGCCTCCTTAAGCTTTTGTGATGATGAGATGAGACCATGTATTATAAATGCACGCATGTACGGTACATGCTCAAGAATATTCATTTGCTTTTCTTGGCCCAAAAGGAGAGTCACATGATTTGCAGTTATAACCAGTGTGGCTCTAGGATCCGTGAAGGGGAAGATCACGTAGTATTGTAAGGTAATTCTGTCAGATACTGAATTTAACTCAAGAACCATAAGAGGAGCATGGTTGTTTGGCTAGAGAGCAGGAGAAAATGGGATTTATCAGGAAATCTGGGAGGGGCTGGTTCTCCACCATCAGAATGTTGTCTGTGTGGGTGGGCTCTGTCCGCCTTGTTCACCACTGTATTTCTGTGCCTGAAACCGCCTTGAGGTGAGTAGGTGCTCGAGACATATGCATGGATGAATTTTGTTGGAGAATAGGGTCTATAGCACATCAGTAGTTAGCTTTCTTTGTGGGAGCCTTTGTTAGACAGAAGTTGTGCTCCTAAACCACACCAAAAGCAAGAACCGGTCTTACTCCTAGCAGAAACCAGTCTGGTTTGGGGAAGACTTGCAGGAAATCTGGAAAGTGTAGGATGTAAGATATAAAGGCAAAAGCTGCACAAACTACAAAGGAAGGGGAAAAAATGTCCTCCCTGGAAGGTTTCTAAAAAAACAAAAACAAAACTATACCCAAATTTTAATGGTCTCTGGTCTTGGCTTGCCAAATGCCCCACATGGGTTGAGTATGAGGGAGAAGGGCCATCGGGCAACCACAGAACATCGCAGCAGCTATGAGCTTAGGTTCTGGGGGTAAAGTCAACGAGCCTGAGAATCTTAGCTCATTTTACCATCTTTCACAATCATTAATCTCCGTAAGACTTAATCTCTCCACTTGTGAAATTGGAATAAAAATAGCAGGTACCTCAAGAGTTGTTACCAGGATTACATTAAATTATAGGGAAGAGTACTTAGCCTAAAGCCTGACACACCTTACAGGTCTTCAGTGACTTGCTCTCCTTCTTCCTTTATGGCTCTCTTAGGTAAGATATTTAGAAGAGGTTGATAATGGGGATGAGAATGGCGATCACCTACGTGCCCAGACCTCTCTCCTATGTTTGAAGGAGCTACAAGATTATGATCCAGGCCCAGACTGGCTTCCAGGGGACACACTGATGGAAATCAGAATCAAGGGGTCCCTCGCAGTGCTCGCTGTGAAGAAGAACATGTCTATGAAGGCACAGAAAGTGGCCGAGGTCAAAGACCCTCATGACAGGGACTACTTGCTGATAAGACCTTCCTTAGTAAAAGGCAGATTCTAAAGCACATTGTTTCCTTCCTGAGCCAGACACCAGGACCTTCTGAGGCATCTCCCTGATAGAATCACCTTCAACTATTTGGGGTATCATCCTTGAGGATCTAGAGGCAAATGGAACATGGTCATTGGCAAGGACCAGAGAGGAGAAATGTTCCCCAAATATACAAAGAAATCCACTATCTGACGCTTCCACCAATAATCTGTTCATGTAGGAAGAAAATTTCAGCCAGTTAACTCTCTCCTTTTATGGATAAAGAATTGGGAGTCCAGAAAAAGGAAGTGAATTGCCTAAGGAGACATCTGGGAGGCCTCCTGACTCTGTCCTGCCTTGTTGCTACAACACATATCATTTTGTCACACATCACTTTGATTTTTCTTCAGATTTCGGTCTTCCTATGGGTATCTTACTACTGCGAACACTACACCAATGACACCGTGATACTCAATCTTCTCAGTGAAAGCCAGACTGTCCCCTAGGCTGTGTGGGGGCCAGCAGGAGGCACGCAGTCCTGAAATGCTGTAAGTGAGTCTGGATGCCCGGGGGCGGCCGTCCTGGGCCGCTCTCTGGAGAATCACCTCTGTGCACTTCCTCCCAGCCCCGGCCCAGACAGTGCCCTGCTGCTAAGGTGGATTTGCTGCCCGAGCTCCCTAGGAATTGGCCCAGAGCACCCCTGAAGTACATGTCAAGAGTCACCCTCACCAGTTGTGTGCACTTAGGCTAATTTTTCCATGCTTCATTTTCTTTATATGTAAAATGGGGATAATATTAAGATTTTGTAAAGAATAAATGACCCAATCCATTAAAAGCACCTACCTTCATATGACAGGACCTCAATAAAAGTTCATTCTTTGCCTTCTCCTCTTACCTCTGTCCCTGAATGTTGGTCATGCCATGGTTGGGTTAGACCAGCTAACTTTTTCCACAGAGGAGAAAAGTCAACCTCAATAACAGTGTTCAACCACAAATGCATCTACATCCACCCAGCACAGAATCACAAACAGCCCACAGAAGAGCGGATGTTGATGGTGGGGACCACTCATTGAGTCCCCTCTACCTTCTTCCAGAATGACCTGGAACTTGACCCAACATGGAGCTGCTACTTAGCTGTTCATAAGGGAATATCAGAGTAACTGATTAGAAATCTGCTGCCTTTCAAACCGGGACTCGGCCCCAAACTGTATCGCGAAGTTCACTAACCCCACAAGGGAAGTTGCAGAGTGCTGGTGAGAAAGCTGGAGTGTGTCTGGTTCAGAAGTGAGGACGTTCCCATGGGGTGCAGAAAGGAAGTGGAGGGAGAAAAACAGGGAATGTACAAGTCACCATGGTTTCTCTCTGTGGCCTCTTTTCTTCCCCCAGCAAGTGGCTCCCCTTCAAACAATAAACTAAGACATGATATGCAGCAGGAAGCCGACATCCTATGCGCACATCACGAAGGAGATGCAGTGTGATGGATACACATATGTGTTGTTAGTCAACTGTTGATTTCCCTGTTCCTGCTCTCCAACAACAAGGTCAACACGTAGAGGTGGATATAAGGATGCAGATATGTCCACTCCAATTTTGATTGCAGCCTGGTTTAACGAGAAGAGCCAGGCTTTGGAAAGAAACTTGGCCTCAAACCTCAACTATGCTACCTACAAAACTGTGGCTTTGGGCAAGTCGTGTAAGTTCAGCTTCCTCCTCCATAAACAACTGTTTGGAGGATTAAATAAGACAATGCACGAAACTGCTCGGCACTCCACCTGGCACCTTGACAGCCTGTCCATGGATGTTGGTTCTCTTCCTTTTCTAACACCTACAGCAATGTCTCCCAACACTTCTTTCTTTATTGCCCCCAAGAAACAGACATTTTAGATCTTCTCCCATGAAGTTTTAATACCAGAGACATATTATGTACTTGTTTATATGCTCTATAGTTATCCATCCTTTATACATAAAGAATAAGATTTTTTTTGCCCCCAGTGACCAATTTTCACCCACTTGGGGATGATATTGCCCCAATTGAGAATGGATGGCCTGTGGTGGCATGTACCCTGGGGCTGGGTCAGTAACTGACTAATGAGACCAGTTTTGCCTGGTCCGACATGGCAGCTCACAGGGGACTGATCCAGGGCACAGACTCTGGAAGATGGTTGTAAAGCCAAGAGACCCAGATTCCATACATAGTATTTAGACCACAGAAGGCAAATCTGTTGAACTCTGTGTCAGTAAAAAGTAGTGGCATTCTCACAAAGGATTGACCAGCTGTATTTGTGGGTTAGATCAACTCAGAGAGAAAACAAATCAATGGACAGAGAACAGACTAGAGAGAATGCACACAAGTTCTCTTCCAGAGTGAGATGAGATAATTTTTAAACCACATTATTTTTTCCTGTATTTCTTTCCTTTCCTTCAAGCTCCGCTCAAGCAGCTAGGCAACTCTGTGGTTCTCGCCTCAACATCTGTGATGCTGAGCATATTATTCTCATTCTGGCTTCTTTCCAAGAACCTAAATCCACTGAAATGGCGATGGTT